TTTATTAGTTGTTTGGTAGCGCCCTGCCTACAGGAGCGACAGGGTGAATTCGTCCTTTTATTGTCGACCACACACCGGGTGATGTTGCCGGAGGCAGTAGCTGCCTGCAGCAGCCAGGGTTTCAGAGCTACTGCCATGATAGGGGGTGGAGATGTATCGTTTTGTCGTTGTGTTGCATGTTCGGTTATCTGAGGTCGCTCGCCCTTCTGATTTGTACGCGACATGATACCTAGTTCGGGTTGGGCATTCGGAAAATCGTCAGTACCACTATTATTCTTGATGTAGAGATAAGAGATATTTTCTATAGAGATCATGAGTCCGCTTCAGGAATGAATGTTGTGCATACCGTGGATTGTGTTTTCTGCAGCTCCCTGCATACGCAGGGCGCGACGGACAGTTTAGTTTTTTCTTGTCTGGCACTACGATTGTTATTTTGCCGTGCCTACCGACCCGAGGTTAGCTCCGGTGGTTTGTCGGAGCCATCCTTTCCATTTCGGCAATGGCATCTACATAACGCAGCTTGTAGAATTGTAGCGTGCGTACAACGTCCGTGTTGTGTGTTTTGGCTGGCGGTGACTCGTTGCTCTGTTTCTGCCATTCGTTTTTTTGGGGTGTTTTTGTTGGAGGTCGTGTAGCCGCTGCACGGAACGCGCCGAAGTTGTCGCTTCGGTAGGCATGTAGCTACTCGCCGCTTGAATACAGTATCTAGTGCTTTTTGTTGTCTTTCAACAGCAGTGGCTCCGCAATAAAAAGAACGTGTACTCGTACAAAAAAAAACTGGAAGGACTACACACTACGGTGCCAGATGGCACGCATGCTTGATCCTCACATCGTATCGCGAGCTACCATAGGAATGAAGGTGCATGAGTGCGAAAAACGTTTGCCAGTTCGACGTCGGACGTCAACGGAGGACGACGATACGAAGTTGGGGGGGGGCGTTTCCCCCGGGTCGCCTACGGGGGGTTTCGCCCCCCTGCCGTACAAAACACGTGGCGAGACAACAACAACAAAGAGAAAAACTCACGACTAACCGGGAGAGGGTGGAAATAATCATTTTTTCGCTCCCTGCGCGACGAAACTACCGAATCTCACACGCGAGACAAAAGAAACTCCACCCAACACCAAGTCGAACAAAACACCAATCTACTGCCCCTCCCTGTATCAAACATGAACTACCTGCAACCGCATCCAGACAGAAAAAAAAACACACACACACACAGAATACCTTAGCCTCCCCCATGCCTCCCAGTTAATGGCAGTTACAAGTGTTTTGTGTTCCAACCGCATTGAGACTGACGTCTTTTCATT